TACAAGAGCAGCACCAAATTTACTTCCATAAAATTATATTTACACAAATTAAATGTAAAAATTGTACACCATAAATTATAATTTAAAACAAATTTTATATATTTTTTAGAAATTAAGTAGAAACGTTTCTCTCAAAATGTTGGTTTTTTATGGAGTCCCCCCTCTCATAATCAGCATAGCAGCCTTATCATTTTGAAAATGTAGTTTGGATATACCTCAAAGTATAAATCCCCAAATAACTGTTTATGAATGATGTTTTAATTTTTATTGATTGATTGAAATTATTTTATGTTTGTTAGGTTTGTGGTAGTATAAAAGACATGTTTGTAACTGGCAAGTGGAGTCGTGATGAAGATGCTACAGCACTCCTTGAGAATGATAATGAAGAACTATATGGTGATTTTGAAGATTTAGAAACTGGAGAGAAAGTAGAGGGCCAAGATTTTGATTCTGATAACGATAGTGTTGTTGAAAAACCCAATAAACCATTAACCGAAGATGAATTGATTGAAAAAAAGAAAAAATTAAAAGAGCAGTTTGACGAAAACTATGACGATAAAGAAGGTGGTCCAAGTACATATTACGATGAGTTAAAAGAAGAAGCTTCTAAACAAGCACAACTTAACAAGAGCCAGTTTGAAGGAATGGATGATGAAATTCGTGTACAACTAGAAGGTTATAGAGCTGGAATGTATGTTCGTGTAGAATTAGATGCAATGCCATGTGAATTAGTAAGCAATTTCGATCCATCATATCCATTAATTTTGGGAGGATTACAAAGTGGAGAAGAAAATATTGGATTTTTGAAAGTAATTATAACATTAAAATTAACAATATATTTCAGTTATTTATCAATAGATTGTTTTTATAAATAGGTACGAATTAAGAAACATAGATGGTATAATAAAATACTCAAAAACCGAGATCCTGTTATCATATCAATGGGTTGGAGAAGATTTCAGACATTACCAATATTTTCCAAACAAGAAGATAACATGAGACATAGGTACTTAAAGAGTGAACTTATTACTTATTTTTATCCATAATTTTTTTCTTATTTATATCATATATTTAAACACTTTAGGATGCTTAAGTACACCCCTGAACATGTCATGTGCATGGCCCACTTTTGGGGTCCAATGACCAAACACGGTACAGGGTTTTTAACTGTTCAAAATCTTTCAACCCAACAGGTTTGTAAAAAATGTAATAAGATATTTAACTTTTTTTTATTATATTATGTTTGTCTAAAGGCTGGTTTCAGGATAACAGCTACCGGGACAGTTGTTGATACAGACCAATCTACTCAAGTTACTAAAAAGTTGAAATTGACTGGCTCTCCATTAAAAATTTACAAACGAACAGCATTTATTAAAGACATGTTTAATTCCACTCTGGAGGTTACCAAATTTGAAGGAGCTCGTATTAAGACTGTTTCTGGTGTTCGGGGTCAGATTAAAAAAGCTTGTCCAAAACCAGAAGGCTCATTCAGAGCAACTTTTGAAGACAAAATTAAAATTAGTGGTATTTATTGATTGGTGTTTAATATATTTTGTTATATTTTATATACTGATCACCTTTTTTTTTTTTTGTATTGCCAGATATTGTGTTTTGCCGTACATGGTATAACGTTGAAGTTCCAAAACTTTATAATCCAGTTACATCATTACTGTTGCCTTTGAACGAAAAGAACTCTTGGCGTGGTATGAAGACTACAGGACAATTAAAAAGAGAACAAGGCATTAAAGGACTCCCACAAAATGATTCTATGTATACTGTAAGTATTTTTCTTATTTTCTTTATACAAATAGTTTTTGTTATGATTTATTGTAAAACTATTTTCTTACTCATTTTATAGCCAATACATAGAACTATGAAACATTTCAAGCCTCTCAAATTGTCTAAGAACTTGCAAGCTCAGTTACCATATGTAGACAAACCCAAGACGTTGGCTACTGCTAAATTAGACTTGAAAAAACAACGTGTGGCTGTGGTTAGAGATGGTCACGAAGAACAGGTTGCTTCTTTAATGAAGATGATTCGCACCACTTATAAGGAGAAGAAACGAAAAGATAGAAAAGACATGAGAGTGAGAGTTAGGCAACATAAGAAAGACATCCAAACAGAAGTAAGGGCTAAATATAAGAGAGATCAACAAAAGAAAAAAGCTGTTATGAGAAAACGTTCTAAAATGTCGTCTACTAAATAATTTATGTATGAATATTGCTAACAATTTTTAAATCAATATCTTAAATCTTTTAATTTTATTTAAATAAAATAAAATCTAAATCAATTTGTACATTGTTTTTAAATCATTTATAAATTTATAATATAAGGTATTTATTGACATGGAACGGGTTATTATTTAGTACTAATTGTTATAGGGTGGTGGGCCCATGCATCTTCCACCGTAAAAATCAAAAACACTTCAATTACATAATTATTATCTAAAATATAAGTAACAGGTTTCACAGGCCCCCTTTATAGAAAAAAATATAAATATAGATACCTATATGGCTTTATGGGTGTATAAATTATATGCTGATAATTTTACAATTGATTATGATCATGTAGGTTCTGGCAAATTACGATTAACAGGATATTTTTAAATCAATATCTTAAAGATTTTTATCTTATTTAAATAAAATAAAAAAATCTTTTTAAACTTACACAAATTTTAATAATTATTATTTAAATTTAAAAAATATAAGTTGTAGAATAAGTAAAATGTTAATATTTAATTTTATATATTTTATTATAATTATTATACTATCAAGAATCAAGAATGTATACAAATATTAATTATCAAGTATTATAATGCAATCTATACTATTATATAAAGAGAAAAGATTTGTTAGTATATTGCAATAGATGTTTGTCATAATACTTTAAGGAGTACCTAATTTTATTATATTGTTAGTCACCGGAACACATTTAACCAGAAACCTAAAATCTATTAAATTCATCTGGTCATAGGTTTATAAAATAAAATATTTAAATATGAAGAATAAATATCTCATGGAATTATTGAACTATTCCAAGTTCTAACTGCCGATAATATATAAACGATGACAGGTAGGTAAAAATAATTTTCAATATAGATCTCTCAATGGGCTCCAACCTCCAACTAAATACAATTTTGTATCAAATATCACCCTTGTCCCTTAGAATTGAAGTTTGGATCATTTTTTTACCATAAAACTTGTAAGCATACACAAAAAAGCACACACCATTGTAAAATCAATACATCCATTGTTTCACTCAGAACCTAAAAGACTTAACCTAAAAGTATAAAATGACTAATGAGCACTGCAGTTCTGCAGTGTATAATACGAATCGAAACACATCCTTGTTCAAGTATAATATTATATATCATTAATAATGGTCTTGGAAAAATAAACGGGCCCGAAATCCTAACGATTGTTGATTAGAACAAACGACTTCGCAACGACCATGCTCGCCTCGTATTGTGTACCCGTTGTCTGGGAAATGTTTGAATTTTTCGAGTGAACCGATTTTGAATTGAACTTCGAGTTCATTTGCAATTTAACGTCTGACCTGAAACAACCAAAAAGAAAAATGGCCACTAGTGACTTTGCTCGAGAAATCGCCATGATGCAGAATGTAGTCGAACGCGTTGAAACATGGGTAATGCCAGTGGAAGACGAAGAACTAACGCTAGAAATTAAATACTTAGAACAAAAACTAGATGACGACGAGGACGAAGACTAGGCGATATAATTTGGTTGTTTAGTGAACATGTCGATACTGTCGAATGCACGGTCGAGGTAGGCAGCGGAGACGCTGCAGCAGTAGTCCCGACGCCCTCCGAGAAGTTCGGACCAGCCGAGCAGGGACACGGACTACAGCAGGCTGAAGACCAAGTGCCAGTAAAACATCAAAAGGCAGACACCATTCCGTGCGTGGGAGTCGAAGAAAGGGGCACAACTATGCTGGACGGAGAGAACGGACAGATACGACCATCAGAGCAGTACCGAGCAAAAATCCACGTGGTAGGACAATAAGGCGGTTGTGCGCCGCCACGTGGAAAGGCGCGAAGCGCCTACTGCTCTGCGGTTGTTTCCTGAGGACGTGAAGCCAGCGGCATAGCAAACCCCCTCCCCCTCCCCCAGATAAAGACACCAGGACAAGACGGGGGAGTGGTACGTGAAAGAGCACTTTACGGTGTCCGACGGTAAGTTTTCCGGCCACCCGCAGAAAGACGAGATCGCAGTTGCCAGCGTCGTTGTATATTTATTTATTTCAAGTTTCCACAGAATAATGGTCTCCACTGAACAAGCTCCTGTGAGGGCTCATGCAAAGTAATAACCACCTACTAGCAATGCTTTTGTCACCCATCAAATATATCAATAAAATATTATAATAATGATAGGTATATATAGGTAATATATAGGTAATTATACTCATTTCATTATTATTATAATTTATGTTCAATATAATAAAAATATTTATTAATAAAATATTGTTTGTACATTGTTTATACGAACAAATTTAGGTTTCTAACATAATTAAAAGAGCTTTAAGATTACAAAATTATATAAGATTAAAGTTAGTCCCTAAAAAATAAAATAAATGTGTATATTGTATAATAATTAATCAATTAACATATACAGCCATTGGCCATATGGGGCCCCGCGAAATTCTGCACCGGGCCCCGAAAACCATCGGGCCGGCACTGATATCTACTATAATATTTTATTCATGTTGACATATTAATTACCTATTATAATCATAATTGATAGCTCTTAGTATTGACTATTGAGTAATGATGACAGACGAAGATACTAACTACGGAGAACAGTTGTACGATATGTCAATCAAGTATTTACCTATTTACATACTTAAAATTATAATGTGCATAAAATATAAACGCGTGTGTGAGACAGAGATCAATGATTGATTTTTCAATCTAAGACAGGTTATAAATAGGTGTGTTAACATTTTCCGAACAATTTATTTAATTAATTACATATTATTACCTATCGTTGCTTAATTTTGGCTCTAATCAAATAATTCATGATATGCAAATAAAATAATCTATATGTCTTATAAATCATGCACATTAAGATAAGGAAGGACACGACAACGACAAAAATCACATCCAGTAACATGTATTGATACCAAGTGAGGTTCAGTGCTTCGGATTTCAAGTGGTGGGCACCTTTATGACGAAGCACGTACTCCGTCCAATAGACGACCGACTCTTGAGGAGTCATAGGACGGTCTCTGAAACGGTCCGCGGTGATTATAGCATTTTTTGTGTAACTGTAAAATACCAATGGTAATAGAAATAAATATAATATACAATACATGATAATATTATATATTATAGAGTGATCTGCTTATTCACTACTTTATTTCTTTATAAAAATTAATATGTTAATGCTTTGAAATAATATTATTTTTAAAACTAATTTTCCTATTGTTAATTTTTCGAACGTGAGGCCCAAATATGAGTAAAAAGCACTAGTCCCTGACCTATTAAGATTTGAACGCATCACCATCATATTATAATCTGTTCATCATACTTTGTATTGTGTAAAAGTTCCTTGATGGAGTGTAGAAATCGTTCTTCGGTGATCGACAATAATTCCATTGTGATTGCCATGCCCGCGTCCACTAGACTTTGCAAGTTTCTCGGTTGATCGTAGTAAAGCGGAAAGCCCAAAACAGGAACACCCGCGTCTACTGCTTCGTACACGCCAGATATGCCTCCATGACTTATGAACAATTTGACGTTTGGGTGCACTAATGATATAAAATATGTATAATATGACCATATAGATTAGTATTATTCAAGTAGTTTACTTAATAGTTTAAAAACGCCTATTATACCAATACTTATTGTTAGATATTTTATGAAGAATATAGGCATAGACAAAATATTATTATGTCTATAAAAATGTGCAAAATTTTACTGTTTTCAGGATTATAGCCTATAGGTATTAGTTTGTATTTGCTATATATCAATATCGTTTAAATAAACAACCGTGTAGGTAGGTAGTTTTAATTGATTTACTTCAAATCATCTATCACTTTGAATAAATTGATATTTATTTTGCACAGAGACTTATGCTATTTGCTTTTCTACATTTTCAGTCAGTTTTTAAATAGAAAAAAATATTCTTCAAATTTCATTTTACTTCATTTTGACCATTATATACGATTTTTCGATTCTGAGCGGAGTGACAAATGTATTGGTTTTACAATGATGTGTGTTTTTTTATTTTCTTGTCCGTGTGCACGATTAGTAGTCGAAATAACGCTTCGATTTTCAACTTCAGTATCTTGTTCGATGGGTAAGTGAATCTAGTTGGTACTTTTAGGAGGTCAAAATTTAAAATGTCCAATAATTTTCAAAAGTGCCCGGTAAAACAAAATAAAAATTAAGGAAAAACGGGAATTTTTACGCAAAATAGATTTTTGACAAAATCGATTTTGTAACTCTAAAACAAATGATCCTAAATACATGAAATTTTACTAGTAATGTATATTTGTATTTTATATACACTATACAATTTTCAAAATATTTTGATTTGTTTTGAACTAGCTGTTTAGGAATATTTTCTGTTTCCAATTGTATTAGATTTTTTTCTAAGAATGTCAATAAAACTTTATTTGTTGGGTAGAAAAGTTTGAAAATTTAATATAAGGATCTTTCTATATTGTAAATTTTTATAATGACATTTGAAAAATATTAAAAATCATTAGTCACAAGTTTTATTTATGAGCATTTAAAGTTCAAATCTTTACAAAATACGGAAAAATCACGAAAATTACCAAATTATTTTGAGCTGAGAACTCATCAAAATTTTTTTTTTTTAAATCTAAGGTTTGAAATTGTAATACAAGATTCCTCATGAGTTTGTCTACCTTTATCAAAAAAAAAAAATGTCTACAAGAAAATCAAATTACATTTTTATGAGCGTTTGAAACTTATATTTTTACAATATTGGATATTCACTCGATACCTCATGTAGCGGTTTTGTTATTTTATTGTTATTCAAAAACGAATGACTGTAAATACATGACAATTTTACTGAATGTTTTTCATTTTCAAAATTTTTCATTTTCTATACACTATAAAATTTTGAAAATATTTTGACTCTTTTTGAGCTGTTTACGTGTTTACGGACATTTTTAGTTTTCAATTTGCTTAGTTTTTTTTCCATAAATACCAATACAATTTTATTTGTTGGGAAAGAAGCGTGAAAATTATATGCAAGGCTCCTGATGTATTGTTACAATAGCAGTTAAAAATATTAAAAATACATAGCCAACATTTAACACCATCCATCATAGTGACCCACAATACCCACTTGTAACCTATTAGAGCAGAGCGACACCCACTTTCCAGCCTTTTTTTTAATAAATATTTTACTGCTACATGATTTTTTAGACAGTAAATTTTATTTATTTAAATTACTGCTAGTTCAGACTTCTGGACAACGTGGTGCACTTCGCCTCACTCGATTATACCCTAATCAATAATGCCTTTACAATAATTTTTATTCAGTTAATTAGGTAGGTACTTTTTAACTGATTTGAACTAGAATTAGAATAGCTTTAAGTCGGCTTGTCTCGCGTCTCGTGGAGTGTTGAGTGGTATAGCGAGGTACAGTTGACGTACCGCGGCCGTCCGATTGAGCTGAAAAGTTTGTATGCGTTTTCCCGACAATATTATCGGTCTGTAACCCGCTCAAACGGAAAATTGGTGTGGCGGGTCTTATCTAATTTAACGACATGTCGGTTTTATTGTGCGGGGTATCACGAATTAAGATATACGTATATCTTAATCATTCGTGTGAAGTATATACCTACACGCTCCACACTTCAAGCGCCGTGTAATCCCGGCTTTAAAGAGGAAGACTTAGATCGTTAATTTCTTGTTAAGTAATTAACGATAACTAATTAAAAAAATGGGAGATTGTAAACTCGGCCCGAGGAAAAAACATTTCCAAAAGGTCGATGGTAAACTCGGCCCGCGTTTTTTTCAGGTCAAAATTATTTAGATGTAAACTCGGCCCGGATTTTTTTCAGGTCAAAATTATTTAGATGTAAACTCGGCCCCGATTTTTTTCAGGTAAAAATGATTTAGGTGTAAAAACCATCATTTTTCTTATAATATTTTTGAGAAACATTTAGCATTACCCAGATAACACCACGAGGAGGCGGTTCTCATTATCCTTCAAAAATAATTTTAATTTTCATATTATTATTCATAGTATGAAATTCGTTATTTAAAAGAAAAATGTAATTAAAATGTTATAATATTGATAATAAAATAATAATAAATGTAATTATATAAATGTATAAGTGTAAAAATGTGTATAAATATAATAAAAAATATATAAGTAAAATTGTAGTGTAAATAATGAGTGAAAAATTTTAGTATAATAATATATAAATCTAGTTTTTTAAGTAAAACGCCATGTATTTTACATATTCACTCACTGATATTTCTTTATTTTTATATTTTATAAGTTTTCTTTCTGAGAGTTCTTTTTTTTTTTTACTTTTTATATTTTGGAATTTAAATGGTCCATCTAGGCTGTTGATTTTAATGTACGTTTCTGTTTGTACTTCTTTTAATTTTGAAATGACGGAATATATATTTGGGTAAGTGGAATTAAAACTTGAATTAAAATGCGCATGAAATGATTCACATGCATTTTTTGTTAAATACGTTTCAAACTTTCAACTGATGCACTGGCCCACATTTCAGGCGGAAACATAGAATCTGACACCTGACATTTTCGGGCCGAGTTTACAATCGATTTATTTTACCATCTGAAATTTCCGGGCCGAGATTACAATCTACCTATTTATATTACCTAAAATTGTCGGGCCGAGTTTACAATCTACCTATTTTTATTACCTAAAATTCTCGGGCCGAGTTTACAACAAAAAAGGTAAATTCGGGCCCAGTTTACATTTGCCCAAAAAAATATCGTGTTGGAACAAAATTAAAAATTTGATATTAATAAGCCTATTCAACGACTCAACGTTAAATTCGATATTTATTTATTTATTTATATTAAAATATGTTTTATTGATGTATAAATAACTAAAAATGTTGTACGTGAGGAGTGCAGTTTTCGTTGTACCTGCGACCTGTTCTGTACAGCTGCACATTAAATAAGCATACGATTATTTCATAATATTATATGTTATAGCTGGGAACATATTAGTGAAGTATCTACATATTTTATTCCTCAATATACAATACTTGGGTATGGTACAACATTTTTGTACTAATTGATAATTTTTACTTCAAAATAATAAAAATATAATCGAGTCTTTTATTTTGTGTGGGTGCACGTTTTAAACTTGGGGGTGCACACGCCCCTGAGCAAATCCCTAGTTGGGCCAATGGTGTTAAATTTTAATTCAATGATATAATAATAATATCATTGTATACGAAAAACGATTCTGAGCGAAGATGGTCAGTCAGTCTAATGCTTATATGATATATTACTAAGTATATTTGATGATATTATTGTGAATAAAGTAATTTATTATTTTATTTACTTATTTTTTTTTAATAAAGGAAGACAAATTTATGTGGAATATTGAATTAAATTTTCAAATCTAAGTTTGAAAAAAAATTTTTGAATTTCTAACTTAAAATAATTTGCTCATTTTCGTGGTTTCTTACGTATTTTGTCAACATTTGAACTTTAAATACTTTTGTAACAATGTATTTTTAATATTTTTCAACTACCATTAAAACACTATATCAGGAGCCTTGTATTCAATTTTCAAGGAATCAACATTGATCCAACGAATAAAATTGTATTGACATTTACAGAAAAAAATCCCAGAGTTTCTCATACATTTATATTGCAGCAATTAAAATAAGAAAAAAAACGTTGTAAGCCCTCGAACTTCTAATTTTTAGGAAATTGGATACTTAAATGTAAAATAAGTATTATAAGTAGTAACTAATAATAAGTAATAACATACCTATTTGCATTTATATTTTATATATTTATGATTAATTTGCATTTTTTAGTATTTATTATTTAAAGTACTTTTGAGCTCAAACGTTAATTAATAAAAAAAATGTATTAGTGCGACTAGTTATTAGCGTTGAGTTTGATTATGATAAAACAACTTTGTTACACAATTGAAAAAATTAATAACAATAATGATTAATAATAATGAAAATAAATACTCACACAGAACGTCGCGTTGAGGAAACCAGTTGCCTATCATCACGTTGTCCGGTTTATCTTTCATTTCACCTTCATATTTCCACAAAACTCTTTGAGGAATTTGTCGAAATACGTTTTTAAATGTATCCTGAATGTGGTCTGGTAAACTTGACATGGCTATGACTGATCCGAACGTAAAATAAATAACGCCATGTGGGGAATCCTCAATAAATTCTAATATATTCTGAAAAGTTAAAAATTCATTATAATTCTTTTAGTCTAGTAAAAATCAAAACTGAGATCTAAAAGTGCCCACAAGTGCCCAGGGTGGCCTGGTCTATTGGGACTTGCCATTAGCCTGACCGGTGGAGTACAATATTGTGCGCGATTTACCTTATTTTTGGGTATACGATTGCAGGCAGTTTTTAATTTTCTAATACATTTAATTAAGATATACATCCATTTAGAAAGTAATCAAAAACACATTTACTCAAATACTTAACAAGAATGTTTTATTGGCTTACAAAAATTGTGTTATGTCTAACTGAATCACCCACTAATCAGTAATCACAAATTGATACAGTGTACAATATGTAATATCATTATTTAAAGAAATGTATAAAAATCTGCCTGGCTTACATAAAATACTTATTACAATACCAACATGTTCATACACTAATAGTGGGTAACAACTAGGTACATGATGTTTCATAGAACGTAGCTGATGGCGACAAATGGAGCTTGATTGTTCATGTAAAAATAGCTATCTACATATTGAAAAATAAATTCCAAAAATGTTAATTTTTTTGAACTTGGGCGCTGGTGACACCCGTTATTGGCCATTTTCATACATATTTAATTTATATGTTTTTTCATTCATATTTCACATGTATTTTAATTTTGGGAAGAAAAGTTTACGACACCGGTATGTAACATTTTTGCAAAAAAAATTTTTAATGTTAGTTTTAAATAGAAAAGTGATAGAATATTGTGTTTCAAGAGCCGTTTGTGTTACATAGATTTTAAAGGAGATTTAGCATAATATTTTAACCTTTCAAATGGAGCTTGATTGTTCATGTAAAAATAGCTATCTACATATTGAAAAATAAATTCCAAAAATGTTAATTTTTTGAACTTGGGCGCTGGTGACACCCGTTATTGGCCATTTTCATACATATTTAATTTATATGTTTTTTAATTTCTCGATGGAAGGGTTTCCGAGTGAATATTAAAACTAAGCTGGGTAGTTTATGGTTTCGGTAAGTTAATATTTTGAAAAAAATTAAATTAAAAATGTTAGTTTTTGGGAAAAAAAGGAATCGTGTTTCAGGGTCGTTCTGAAAATATCCGAGTAAGTGTCGGTTAAATCTAACTGGCTGATAACAGATTTTATTACCGGCAGAATTCCGCCTGTTGAGTGTCCGTTAACTTTAACCGGACATTGTAAGGACGACCCTTAGTCACTGTTTATATTTTATAGATTTTAAAGGAGAAGGAGCATATTGAGGTCTTCAAATGTAGACTTGACAATTCATGCCAGTGGCAATTTAGACATGGACAAAAAAATATTCCGCTGGTAATAAAATCTGTTATCAGTCGGTTAGCGTTAACCGACACTTTACCGGGCATTGTAATAACGGCCCTTAAGTGTTTGTACCACCTGTTGCTATTCATATTTTACTAGTCATTGCATTTTGAGATTGAAGGATTTCCAAACAAAGAAAGCCGGGATCAATTCCGAGGAATTTTGGACATACCTATTTATAATTTTAAGGGTCATAAATGTATTTTTTGAATGAACATTTTTGGGGCATTTAAATTCTAACCATATGTCATTTTTCGATTTTCTCAATAGTTATATAATGCCACGGGAAAAACCACCGAAAAATTACGAAAAACCGTTAAAAATTGGATTTTAATTTCTAAAGCTTTGTTTATTGCCATAGAAACGAATACAAAAATGATAATATTATAATATTAATTCAACTTACATGGTATAATAATTAATGACGATATAAAATATCCAGACTGACAAACCATCAGAATCGTTTTTCTTATACAATGATAAAATATCATTGAATTCAAGTTTAATACAATCCATTATACAATGACCCACTTGTAACCTACTGCACAGAAGAGCGACATCCACTTACCCGTTTTTTTTTTTTTTACTATTAGCAATAACTTATAAGGTAGGTTTTATTAATTTTTGTAGAAATATTGAATTTAATATTTATTATATTATTAATACATAATTATTATAATAGTATAATAATATTTTTGAAATAGGTACAATCGCTCCGTTCAAAATCTAAAAAAAAATTAGTTAAAACAAACCTTCAAACATATTGAGTTACATTGGTAAGATTACAGTAATTAAGTCAATAATGAACTAAACGAATTATGTCATCATGAAATGATTTATATTAGAATATAATATAAATATAATATTATAATTATTGTCGTATTGTGGAAGTGTTGTCTTCAAAGTGGTTTTACATTCTATTTTAAAACAATAGCAATTAGGTATATACTTGAATGTTGAAACTTCAGATTATTTTTATTATTTTACAATTAAGCACTTTATTGTTATATTCTAAAGAAAGGCACATCAAGATTTTAATTTTAGAAAATGACATATTATTCAAGTGCTTTACAAATATAAATATTATGTATTTATGTTTTAATGCATGTAATACCTTAAGAGGACGTGACACCTGCAATCCGCATGTGATGTCTCCGTCTTACAAGTGCATAACATAGCAAATTTTACTCTCAAATTTTAGGTGTAGCACAGTTAATTTAAAAATTAGGGTGAATTGACCTCTTATTAAATTTAAAGGTAAGATTATTATTTAGGCAACCTCTTGGGCTCTTAATTATATTTTAATTTTAAGCGAGTTATGAGTATTGTAAGATGTTCAATTTACAATTCGATCGACACTCATATTATAACTAAAATCAATATTAATAAAGATAAGTTCTATAAATTCTATTCGATAATTATATGTTAAAAATACATTAAGTGCAATAAATTGTTATAATTTTTGGAGCGTTTCTATTATTCACTTACTATTCGCAGTACTTTTATGTACATACACATAAAAAAAGGTGCTCTGCTGTACAGTAGGTTACAAGTGGGTCACTGTATAATGGATGGTATTAAATTTGAATTCAACTATATAATATCATTGTATAAGAAAAACGATTCTGAGCGTAGACGATATGTCAGTCTAGGTATAAAACATATTATATACTTATCTATGGTTAGACATAAATATAATAAATTCCAAATTAATCATATCACAATATCCATTAGGGATAAAACTTGAACATTTTATAAATTTTGAACTACAAAATAATTATTCAATTTTAAATTTGATAAATTTTAAACCTTAAACGCTTATAAAAAAAAATTGTGTCTATGTATTTTTAATATTTTTCAATTGATATTTTAACAATATATCAGGATGATGTTATAAAAATTTGAATTTCAAACAATCATAAAAATTTAATTTGACTTTCTTATACACATTTTTTTTTTGATAAAGGTATTATAACTTATAATTAATCTTGTATTACATTTTAAAATCTTAGATTTAAAAAGAAAAAATTTTTACGAATTCTTAACTCAAAATAATTTGCTAATTTTCGTGTTTTTTCCATATTTTGTCAATTTTTAAACTTTAAATGATTTTAAAAAAAAATTGTGACTAAGGATTTTTAATATTTTTCATCTGCCTTTGAAACAATATACTAGTAGCCTTTTATTAAATTTTCAAGCTTTTTTAACCAACAAATAAAATTTTATTGATATTTTTAGAAAAAAAACTAAAAAAAAAATGGAAAATGAAAATGTTCCTAAACAGTTCAAAACAAATCATAATATTTTGAAAATTTTATCGTGTATAAAAAATGCAAATATAAACAACCAATGAAAATTTCATATATATACATTCATTTGTTTTAGAGTTACACAAAAAACCAAAATCGATTTTGTGGAAAAACGATTTTGCGTAAAAATTCCCGTTTTTCCTTAATTTGTATGTTGTTTTTCCCGGCGGAAAACTATTGGGAATTTTTAAATTTGACCTCCCGAATGCACCAACTAGATTCATTTTTCCATCGATTAAGATACTGTTGAAGAAAATCGAAGCAGTTTTAGTGCCCCAAACCGTGATGACAGACACAAAAATTAAAAATTAAAAATTTAAATAAAAAAAAAAAAAAACACACATCATTGTAAAACCAATACATTCATCTTTCCACTCAGAATCTAAAATGTTTTTACGTAAAAAAACATACACTCGTTGTAGAACCACAATCTACCTACATTTTTTACCTCGCAAAGCTGGATAGGTGTGTGGGTAGTAAGTTACTGTAACGAAATAACTTTTTTTAAAAATTTGATAATTGATGGTTATTTAATTACATTTTATTGTAAGTAATTTATACGTAATTTCAGTTACTTTTTTTGTAGGTACCAGCTGCTACCTAGTGAAATTATGAAATGAATCGTAATCCTTTTTTAAATACGTTTTGATAACTAATTTATAATATGTAAATATATTATAATCTTACTACCTATATATGTAGGATTTTCTGACAGAATATACATTGACATTCCAACATAAATTGTATTATTGATTGAACAATTATTGTCATTATATAGTTATTTGTATTGACATGTCAATATGTTGTAACATAAATTTTTAAAATAAAATATATAAAATTAACTTTAATCGTAATGAAGTTACTTTTTTAACCCAAAAGTAATATAACTTGATCAAATAAAAAAAAAAGTAACTTAAGGGTCCCAGTGAGAGTTTTTCAAATTTTCCACAATTCTATAAAATTTGATGCCACCTCAATTATAAGATTTTTCCACTAATCTACTACCCGATGCCAATTTAGGGGAGGGGGTTGATTCCCCAATATTATGAATTGCAAGTCACCCTTTCAAATCTTTATATATAGGTCGTGTATACTCACAGTCGGCAGTGCTCCGCCGTCTCGGTCCAAGTGTATTCCACCAACGTGTATGACGTTGGTGGGAAGTAACATAGTGGGCTCTGTGACGTGGTGGCTGTTGACGAACACGACTGAAGGCTTGGCTGGCTCGCCGACATCGTACGGCCGCCGCAGTGCCGTGAGCTCGGCGTACCACCTGACCAGCCGTCCATAGGCGTACATGGCCGTGTTGACCAACCTGTGCCGGAACGCCCGGACCGCCGAGCCGTAGAGCAGGTGCGGCACGTACGCCGGGTTGGCCGAGTGGCCGACGATGGACGGTTGCATGTACGTGATCATGGGCGTCGGTACCACGTACACCATGGGCAACCCAATGGCGGCGGCAAGGTGTGCCACACACTCGGAGCCCAGCGGCTCGGTGACCAGTAGGTCGAACCTGGCTGCCGTGTCGGTGCCGTTGACCATGAGCGCCCGGATCTGTTCCATGTCGTACACCGCGTCGCAGAACTGTCTGCTCCATCGGACCACCGACGGCACGATGTACGACAGCCGGCTGTAGTCAGACAGCACGCGGGTGGCCAGTTCGCCGGCGTGCCGGAGCAGCACGGCGGACGTGTCCACCTCTGTGTAATTGCCATGCGTGGACGACGAACGCTGCGCCGGGTACGACGTGAACGCCACCACCGAGTGGCCGCGGTCAGTGAGCGCCCGCAGAACGGCGCTCATAAAGTTCCAATGGCTTCGGCCCGGCACGGTTTCCACGGCCAGTATGTTGGCCGCGCGAAAGCGAGTCGGCGGCAGTGGTGTCGCGTTTCCCGCGGTCAGCGCCGTCGTGACGCAGAGTGCGATGACAAGGATGACGATGACACGATGATGACTGGTCGGCGACATGACGGCGATTGGATCCGGAGCACGCCATGGGAGCGATTTATATACGGCAATAATTGGAGCAAGTGCCTCGAGACTATAATCGCTCCGTAATCTGCGGCGCACGAGAATCGCAGTTATGATGCAGTCGGCGCCGCGATACAGTGGTAGACGGAATCGTTGCCGCTCGTCGAACACTCGATAATATCGCTGCGATGACGAAATCAGTAAAATATTATTAGAACGACGAAACTTTTCTCGTTCCATCGTGGCAATTGTCGTGCCCACCTATAAGATTTTAACTATACATATACTAGGCTGTATGCACTAGGCAGCAGTGTTAAGGGAGTTACAACTTTACAAGTCACTTCAGTGACGTGTAACATAGGGTCCAAGTGTGGCTTACGCAACATCTTAAATATGGATGGGTGGGTATTGATAGAAGAAAAATAGGAAATTGTATAGGTCACAGTAACAGTATTATGAGGGGTAGGTCACCTAAAATTATTTTAGCAACACCAATTTTTTTTATGATTCACGCCACTGTGATCATAAAAAAAAATTGGCCACTGTGTCACTTGTTACTATAACGAAATTACTTTTTAAGTAATTTGATAGTAGTTTAATTACATTTTATTGTGTGGGATTTAAGTTAAGTTGGTAACTTTAATTCTAATGAAGTTAATTTTTAAACAGAAAAGTAATGTAACTAGACCAAATAAAAAAAGTAACTTTGAAGACTAATTTAATTACAAATTTGAAAGGTAATTCGTAGCTTAATGTAATAATATTACCTAAAAGAAGTAACTATTCCCCAATAGGAACTGGCTGTAATAGTAATAACGAAAAAAGAATAAACTCACAAAACTACAAAAAAATGACCTAAAAAAGTCAATAAATGCTCTAAAAATAAAATAAACTAAAAATGAATGATACAAAATTATTCTAATAGATTCTTATACTTTTGAAACACATCATAATAACTAGGAAAGCATTCGTTCTAAAAAAAAAGTCTTAACTTCCGGTTTCAAATGAAAAAAATTATAATTACTAATAATTGAGATATTTTTAAACACCGTTCGCGAACACGCGTCCGACATACATATTATTATTACGATGCGTTGACATGTTTGCAGTCGATAATAAATCCGGAGTAACACCCCGCAGCCCGTCACGTGCGATGTTTACATATTGTTATGTTATTATAATACGCATATTACCTATTTTGACGAATTTGACGGGAAAAAAACGTAAACGATTGCGCAAAGATAAATAGTATAAATAAATACTATGATAAATATTATATTTTGCATACAGCGTGCCATGATTGGTTTAACTGCAGTTTATATTATTATATGGACACGCGATATTTATAATAATATATAATATTATATTACTACAGGTTTATACCTATATACGTATATATAAACAAATTCGAGCAACCAGCTACCTATATAATAAAAATAATATTATGGTTATGGAATGCGGTTTATAAATTGTATATAATAACAATTAATAACAATTATTGAGACCTGTCGGGTTAGGCACGATGCGATTTTTGACGTCTTTGTGCTGCTTGTTCACTGTTGAAGGGTGGTGTATTTTGAAAATATATTTTGAAGTAAAGTAACATTGTTGTGAGCTTACATATATTTTTTACCTTTACTATCATGACTTTATTATTAAATATAATAATATCCAATATAAATAAATAAATTATTATTTTTTAGTTTTTATTTTTTTTTAATTACTGAAACATACATTTTTATAATTTCAAATATTTTGAAGCAGAATTTGTATAATACTTATACAAAAGTGAAAAGTATGAGTCAATTACGATTAAATACAATTTTAGGTGAATGAATTTTGGCTTAAATATTTCTCAGGTAACACAAGATAATAAATAAATAAACTCGACTTGGTAGTCATTTGTTGCCAAATGTCGTATTTGTGTTTGGTGATTTCCTCTGACTTTTTGTTTGTACGTACACAGATTTAAAATGAAGATATTGCAAAATATATAAGTTATAATATTATTGAGTACGATGATATTATTTATTTAAATAATGATAAAAAGCTATTATTATTCATCTGTTCGTCTAAAATCACAATGTTTACAGAAATGGTTATATAAAAATATTACATTACATTACTTTTAGTTTTTATGAACTTTCTGTTTACTTTTACTGGCATCAACATAGGTATACAGTATACTCGACATACTGACTGTTTACAATTGTTATGACTAAGTTTTTTAGTCGACATCATTTTATTAATTTTAATAACGCGTTTATTATTCAAAATAATACAAATTATTAACAAACATGATAACTATAATATGTATATCGTAGACAATATAATTTCATATTTATCAATAAGCACCAACAACCATTACAAATGTATTTTGACAACCCGTAGCACTATACCTAACCCGTAGCACGTGAGTGACAGACGAAGTTCAACCGGAAAAGTTTTCCTCGAAAACAATCATCCTCAATTTTCGACCTAGTTGTCTGGGTATTAATATTCAAGGGGAAATTTTGTGGTTGCTGAGGATTTATTGGAACCATTACGCATTGGCTTTCGTTGTTCACGCAACAATTTTTGTTGGACAAGTGACGAGGACTTTTGTGGTCTACGTGACGAGTTTTTCAGGATGAACGTCGACTTTTGTTGCTGAACACTCGTCGTCGGTATCCGATGCCCACGCGATGACTTTTGTAGAGGGTCCGATACCTTCGACGTTTGCAGCTGAACACTGGGGATCGATAACATAGGGGCACTCGTCTTTTGCACACGCGTGGACATTCGACGACCACGTGTTGATTTTTGTCGGTCAGACGTCGGATTTTGATGGCCTGCAAGCGTTGTATTTGGTTGTTGTCCTAGTGAAGACTTTTTATGTTGACGCGGTGAACTCCTAACGACTGCAGACGTTGACTTTTTTCGGCTGCCTGACGAACTTTCCAAGGCTGTAAATGTCGACTTTTGCTGGCCGATGGTTGTCTTGTATTTTTTTGGTTTCTCGTCATTACTAGATGGCATAATATCACTTTATACTTACATATTTGAAAATGTTTACCTATATGAGCGCTAAACAACGATTAAATGTGTTGGACATGTTTGTGTAGTCAATTTGTTGCAAATTATTACTTCAAAAGATGTTAAGTTACCTAACGTTCGTATACAGTTTTGTCATTAAACAGTAACGATCGAAGATTCATGTTAAAGTTTAAAATGCCGTAAAAATAATATATTATTATTTCAAAATATTGTATACTTTAGTTCTCTAATTAGGAATGTCGTCAGTTTTCGCGAATATCTCAACCAAAATTCCAGTTTTAGTAGCATCGTTCTAAAAAATTGGGTCGTATTTAATAGATAGCGATTCGACGCTTACTTTGTATTCAAAGTACACTTTGAAATGGAACCCGACGGAGTCGTCAGTGATGGCCGGTCTGCAGAACAATCTTCCTTACTGACATCACTCGACCCCCAATTAGTGAAAAACATGTCATCTGGGTAAAACAGACCACTAGATGGAATATTAACAGTCGATTTAGATTCCGAAACTCTGTATAGAACGCAAACAAGAAGACAATTGGATAAATTTATTGCAAAAACGTTTTAGATCCACTGTATTATTATTATTTTATTTTATTTTTATAACAATACAGGCCGGGACCCAAAAACATTAATGATAGATATATAATAATAAAAAAAAGTTTACAAATATTTTAGTAAAAACAATAACAGTAACAAAGAAAGAAGAAAGAAAGAAGAAAAACAAATATACAATTATATACAATTATACATTTGAATTATCGATCTTCTTTAAACAGTAATAATAAAATTAATAAAAAACTTAAAGACCCAGTGGATACAATATAGTTTGTGGATAGTTAAAAGCGGGTCTTCATTGGCAAGACGCATAAGACGATAGAGTAAGAAGTTAAGTATATAACTAGAAGTGGAAATAGAATAATGAAGGGACAAATAAATCTAATATTACGAGGGGAACTTTAAAATTGATTTGTGAAAAGAATAGATTGAATTTGATAAAAGTTTAGAAAGAAATTATATATTCGTAGAGCGCCAAAGATCAGCAAGGCTCGATAAATTTAAAACTTTGTGGATATGTTCATAATCATGTAGAGGACAAGTCACCTTTAAAAAATAAGCAGCAAATGACAGGAATTTTCGTTGCACCCTTTTAATTGCTATATGGTATCTATAGATGAATGTACGTCCCAAAGAACGGATCCGTACTCCAGGATAGGCCCGAATAAAGGGCAATAAAGGATTTTTAATGCACGATGGTCCAATTTGAACTCAGATAAAATACGTCGGATGAATCCAAGGATTTTAAATGCTTTGAAATAAATCTCCTAAATATGCAATTTAGGGGAAAGCTTTGGAAAAAAATGAAAACCTTGGTCTCGAACAATGTTAAAAGACGTGATTGCAATATCATAGATGGTGTAATCGACAACAATTGGGTTGTCAATACGAAAATAAGACATCTTAATACATTTAGAGATATTAAGTACCAATCCTAGAGATTCACCCCAAGTACCAATCGGTCAAGGTCCGATTGGAGAAGAAGGGAATCATTGGTATTTTGAATAAGCATATTATATATTAATTATACATCTTTGTATCATCAACAAACATAAGAAGGCGAGCAAGACGTAGAACAGGGGTAGCACCATCAAACAGAATGGAAAACAGTAATGGAGAAAGAATGGCACCTAATGATTGAGTAATGATGTTGAAACTAGTACCATGTAATTTTACTCATTGCTTTAGATTTATTAATTAGTCCGAGAACCAAGAGAGAATAGGTTTACCAAAACCAGAGTCAGATAGGATAGACTGTGATGATTTACTCGATCAAAGGACTTGGAGAAATCAGCTTGGATACTTCAATACTTGATAGTGTCAACTTGAGAATGTTGACAGGAATATAATTATACAGGTAAATAATATACGATAGTTTGAAAATAGGAAAAACAAAATTCCAATTATCTTACAGTCCAACGAGTGTTTTGCGACAGCCAGCGTTTAACAGCGCCCACCGGACGTCCGATTTGGCAATATTTCGGACTCCAAAATAGTTGTACGAAGCACAGCCATTAAATAAAATTGAGGTGATACCAAGAATGATCATATAAATTTTCCATAACGACATAATATTGCTCAAATGATTGATAAATATCCGTAAATATAAGTAGGTATAGCGTGTCTAGAGTACATATCTGGAAAAATGACCCTCAATATTTATAATATAATATATAATAATATAATATACTATGTAGTAGATACATAAGTTGTTTATGTTGACGACTGAAAAAGTTTGTCAGGGAAACGATATTACACGGAGATCAGATAATAATATTAACCAATATCATGTTATATTAATTTATGTACAAATATTATAAAAAACAAAACGAACTATTAAAAAAAATTCAAGATTATTAATAATGCATTATATGGTTTAACTTATAGAAACGGGTGGGTACCTACTCTGTATTTCTCTGTGCATTCTTTTTTTGGAGTGAATCTACAGTTGTACGGTACAACTTGTACTCTATGTAAGTATGTAAGTATGCATATGCAAATATGAAAATTACCTATTTCAGATTACAATATTATTATTTTACATTATTAACCTGTAATTAAAACAGATATAGTAAGGTCAGACTTGAACTCGAAATGTTATTAGTTATTACTTATTACCAGACTTGGGTAGTATTCCGAATACAGTATTCGGAATACTATATTCGGAATACTTTTTAAGTATTCTGAATACTTTTTAAATAATTTTTTTGAAAGTATTCAATACGGTATTTTGAATACTTTTTACGAGTATTCGGAGTACAGTATTCGGAATACTTATTTTTTTTTATATAGGTATAATCTAATATATTACTGATTATTACTTATTAGTTATTAACTATATTAATTTGAATATAATTTATAACTAATAGGTAGCCAGATATTTGTGTATTATCGAGATTATAATAATGTTCATTTATAAACAAAGAATTAAAAAAAAATAAGGTTCGGTTAGGTTAGGTTAGGTTAGGTTAGGATATTGAAATCTAAATCTACTAAAAAAAATATTCGAAAAATATTTGGAATACTTTTTGTGAAGTATTCCAAATGCTTAGGAATATTATTATCATAAAGTATTCGAATACATACTCTGAATACTTTTTTTTAAGTATTCGGAAAATGTATTTAAAATACTTTTAAAAAGTATTTTACCCAAGTCTGCTTATTACTTATTACTTATTAATCAGTATTCAGTAGGTATACATTTATGCATATAATATATAAAGTAGGTATTCATTTATAATATACACGAGATTATGTATACGTTAATTATATATATAATATATTTATTATTTATACATATATAGGTACCTACCGTACATATTAGTATATTATTATGTGCCTTGTGCATAATAATTAAGAACCCTAACCGTTCTGCAGTTCTCCACCATATCCCATTAAAAGCGTAGTTATATAATATATTACTATACAAAATTAATTTTATAGTACCTATCATCGTATTTCCCGGTATAGTATGACGCTGTTCGTTTATAATGCTGTCAGCTGTCTATGAAGATATTTTTTTTAACTTGTGATTTCGCCCATATACAGGATTATAACTTATAAAGAATGGTGGATTCTATTTGTGACCATTTACTCAGCCAGATTAATGGCATTTCTTAAATTATAAAATGTATTATATTATATAAATATATCATCTATAATCATGATTCACGATATATTGTTGATCAGAAACGGGTCCGATTTCCTCAACCGATGTCGGATTAATGATTATTAGCAAACATACTTTGTAGAAGCTCTGATGTAAAAAGAAATACAGTGTCAATTGTTAATCTGCATGTATCATACAGTTGGAGTAAAAAAATGATGTCGATAAAAAGTACATACATTTTCCATATATCTATAGCCCGATGGGCTGTTGTATTATATTATAATGTTTAAACGTAATACAACAGTGGTTGGTAATCGTTTATGAATAGGTATTTTTTTTATTTTTATTATGGCGCTCATCTTAGGACAATTTTATTATGTTATAATATTTAATAAAACACAGGATGAATATAATATTTGATATTTAATTAAAATATAGGAACTACAGTGGCGTCATTTCAGTTTTTATAAGACTAGTACAATTTTTCACTACTTTTCCGACTCAACATTTTTTCACTCAGATTCTCATAGCATAGTGCCATAGTGGTAAACAGGGGGTGGGGGGCGTATGGTAAATGTGCTGACTTAAGGTTAATGTAAATACAGACTGGGGCAAATTCCCCAATTGCCCTCCCCCAAATGACGCCACTGAGTAACTATCACATATGACTTTATTTTATATTTAGAGTACCTATAAGGTATAGACCTACCTGTTTAATACGAGCAACCAGTAGGTGCACAATATGCATAATATAGTGCGGCCCATTATCTTTTCTAAAGAATAAAAAAAAATAAATAAATAAATAGACACATGGAGTATAAATTGATAATCAGGTTATGGATATTTTAAAATTGCACTATAAACAGAGTTGCTGAAGGTTAATATACAGGATACCAAATATATACTATACCTACCTATAATTGACTCAGCTGTGATCCATAATTAACCAATTTCAGAAATATTAATTCTAACCACAACATAAAAATCCTATTAGTCTACGAATTAATATTTTTTATCATTTGTGTTATTAATATCATTGTCAATATTGTACTATTATATATATAGGTATTGTACTTGGATCTTACGATCCGTTAGAATTTGAATAAATAAATAAATGTTAGTAGGTACCTAGGTACCTATATTTTAATTAGGTAATGGTATAACCACTATGTATATTGAATATATAGAGAAGGTACAAAACTTTAAAATGTACATTCAAGCGAGTAGGTATAGCGAGTAGGAAATACGGATATTAAATTAAATTTCAATATTTCATGATAATTGATAATATATAACCACAAATCACAATGAAACC